GCGAGTTTATTACCGAGCAAGCACGCTTCTGCAGTGCATTCGCGCCTCCAGAAATTATAAACGAAGCACAAAGCAATCGTTCAGTACATAGAGCACACGCGGCTACTACTAAGCCGTTTCCGAAATGCAGAGTGTGCGAAAAGGAGGGTCACTACGGATCCGAATGTAAAAAATTTAAAGAAGCAGATATTAACAAAAGATGGGAACTCGCAAAGCAAAACAATTTATGTTTCCGCTGTTTACGTTATCGAAATCAGACACACAAATGTAAAACCAATAAGTGTGGAATAAAAGGATGCACCGCGACACACAATCGACTTCTCCATAACAATACAAAGGAGAAGACTGAGGTCAAACAAAAAGAACCTCAAGAAACTGTTGCTAACTCATTCGCTGTGTCAAAGCATCAAGCCTATTTAAAAATAATTCCAGTGCGAGTAATTGGACCGGCGGGAGCTGTAAACACACACGCCCTGCTGGATGATGGGTCAACAGTTTCACTAATGGATGAAGAGATAGCCAAACAAATTGGAGCTACAGGGCGGTTGGACCCGTTTAAGATCACCGCTATCGGGAACACTACCCTCGATTCACCGGAATCCCGAAGAATCAAAGTATCGCTGAAGAGTCTCCACAGCAAAAGGGTGCCATTCAGAGCACGCACGGTTGAAAGCCTAAACTTGGGGCCACAGACTGTGCGTGCAGCAGACATAGCCAAGTGCAAGCACTTGAAAGACCTAAAGGAGCAGCTAACATATGACTCCGGCAACCCAAGGATCCTAATAGGACAGGACAATTGGAGACTTCTGATAGCCACTCAAATCCGAAGAGGTCCGCCGCACCAGCCAATTGCCTCGCTCACAGAATTAGGATGGGTGCTACACGGGGCACACACTAAAGCCCCGTATCAGCGCGTCCACGCGGCCAATGAGCTGCACAAGAGCGAGGAAACTATAGATGACCAACTCCGCGAATATTTCGCGCTGGAATCTCTCATTATCAATCCGAGAAGACCAAACTCCGACCCAGAGAAGAAAGCTGAAGATATACTAAATAGCAGCACCCGTCAGTTACAAGACGGGCACATAGAAACAGCGCTTCTCTGGAAGAAAAAGGATATCGAGATGCCTGGTAATTATGAAACAGCATTAAAACGGCTCGTTTCCATTGAAAGAAAATTAGATCGAAACGAAGATCTAAAAAAGAAAGTATGATGAACAAATGAATTCCCTAGTACAAAAGGGATACGCTGAGATAGCACCGAAAACTAGCACACCGGGAAGAACATGGTACCTACCCCATTTCGACGTCCATAACCCAATGAAGCCAGAGAAGTTTCGAATAGTACACGATGCCGCAGCCAAAACAAAGGGGGTGTCATTGAACGACTTCCTGCTCACGGGTCCAGACCTACTGCAATCACTACCAGGGGTCATGATGCGTTTTCGCCGCCATAAAATCGCTGTCTCCGCGGACATAGCCGAAATGTTCATGCAGGTTAAAGTCAGACCTGAAGACAGAGATGCCTTAAGATATCTCTGGAGAGGGGATCGACGTAATGAAGCTCCACAGGAATATAGAATGACGTCGATCATTTTCGGTGCAGCCAGTTCACCCTGCACAGCCATATTCGCGAAAAACTGGAACGCTAAAAAACACAAAGACAAGTATCCAGAAGCCGTAGAAGCTATCATTCAAAACCACTATATGGATGACTATCTCGACAGTTTCCAGTCTCTGGAAGAGGCAATGCGAATATCGAAGGAAGTACGCGACATACACAAAAACGCGCACTTCACCTTAAGAAAATGGGTTTCCAACGCACCAGAAATTGTAAAAGAATTAGAACCTGACCATGAAGCATCTGAGTCAGTCGATCTGGGAAACAAAGGAACCGAGGAAAAGATACTCGGATTAATCTGGAAACCGAGTACCGATCAGCTGAGCTTCAACCTAAAGCTCGCTCGGCTTCCAATCAATTTGCTGCACAAAACATCAACCAAGAGAGAACGTCTCATACGATGCGTGAAGACGGCACTATACACCGTCCTTCATGAGAGACATCCGCATGAGGAAGTATTAGCCACGCTGCTCTGCGAGGTGGAGTACACAGTAAATAGCAGACCATTGACTCACATCTCTGTAGACAGCAACGACGACGAATCCATCACTCCAAATCACTTCCTTTTAGGAGGATCTGCGAGACTGCCGACACCTGGAGTATTTGATGAAAAAGATATGAATAGCAAAAGACACTGGCGACGCTCCCAGATACTCGCTGACATGTTCTGGCAGCGTTGGGTCCGAGAGTATTTACCGGAACTTCAAAACCGGCGGGAGGCCCATGGGCGAGGTCCCAATCTCCAGGTGGGCGATCCAGTCCTCATAGCTGACGGCCAGTTACCTCGTAACACCTGGCCACGAGGGAGGGTGGAAGCTGTTTACCCCGGTGCGGACGGACAGATCCGCACTGTGGAGGTACGCACAGCAAACGGCCTAATCAAGAGGCCAACCAGGAAACTCGTGCCGCTGCCGAAGTAGAAGCAACGTCGCTCACCGAAATGGATGCAGCGCCGCTGTGAGAAAATCGTCGCGACGCTGCACGGCGGGAGAAATGTTCGCGACGGCCTAACAACCTTAAGAAACGAAGTGATAAAGAATATTGTTTTATGTATTAATAGTGAAATTACCAAGAAAACTGAGTGAAAACGTGTATTAATATAGTTATTTAGCATATTTATAACTCTCAATATGTTTGTATAGAATGTCGTTTTGATAACAAGTAATATAAACAACTTTTATTATATACCAAAAAATCGACCAATCACAGCGCGTCTTATCGTAGAACTCTCTAGAAGTTTTTTAATTAACTGCGTAATAGATCATACTAAAAATAATGAAAATAATTTTATGTCCTAAAAGAGTTATAAATATGACATTGAATTAGCATATGGCTTATAGATGAAAAAAGTATAGGAATATTTTTGTATAATTAAACGCATTTCGTAGTTATAGAAAAATTAAAGAATTAAAATGCCCAAATATTATGAAAATTTGGGACGTTTCGTTTAATAACTTTTTACAATGTTAATGTTTTTATTAACCTTTATGATATACTAATAAAGTACCAGACTACCGATTTAATGATGTATAGCATGTTAGTGTAGCAATTAGTATTGTATAGAAAATATTGCAATGTATGCCATTTGTATAGTGAAAAGTTTATGCAATAAAGAGGCAAATGGAAAATGGCAAGCGGCTCACTGCAAAGTATTGCTAAAGTCTACCTTAGGGGCTCGGGACCCAGTACCAGTAGTAGTGTGAAGAACTACCAGTGACTAGTGAAGTGAAGTGAGTGGTATCCGGTGGTAGCTGAAGTGACTAGTAGCAGTATATAGTGAATAGTGAAAGTGTTAGCTAACCTAAAAAAGGTCGTAACTGACATTCGCAGTTACACATAGTGAAAGTGTCAGCTAGCCCAAAAAGGTCGTAACTGACATTCGCAGTTACACATAGTGAAAGTGTTAGCTAGCCGAAAAAGGTCGTAACTGACATTCGCAGTTACACATAGTGAAAGTGTTACCTAGCCTAAAAAAGGTCGTAACTGATATTCGCAGTTACATATAGTGAAAGTGGTAACTGATATCCGCAGTTACACAAGTGATAAAATCAACTAGTTTAGTTGATAATAGCTGCTAGTCAGTAGTGTTAGAAAACCAGCTACTACCAATAGATATTTGATACCACCGTACAATTTAAAGAAATCTTTTGAAATATACAGTGAACAACCGTAGTTTAACAACCGTGATAAAAGTTATAAAATTTCGCGACTAATCAATCAGTCGAACCGCTGGCCACTACCTTGCTATTTGTATTTGTTAATCGTGCATTTTGATTTTAACTACAGTCCACAATATTTCAGCGGCAACAACAAAGACGGCGGTGAGAGTACCCACCGGAACCTATAGGTGTAGGACGTGAGCGACTCGCGAAGTATCTTCGACAACATTTACTCCGGAGAGTTTCGCCCGTCCGGCACACTCATATTTCATTTCATTTCGCATATAGTTTAAAGAATATCGGTCTTTGGGAAGCCGCGGTCAAGTCACCAAAATATCATCTCAAAAGAATTTCTACCTAATTTATTTAAACTTTTATGGAATTTAGTACAATTATGATCGAAATAGAAGCTATTTTGAACTCTCTTCCATTTTGGTATTTCTTTGTACAGGACGTGCTATCTTTTAGGTAATAATATATTAACCCAGTTCCTATTATTAGAATTCTTAAATAAATGTTTAAAAAAGTATGGTTTGCAGGATGTCGGGACGTTGTTTGATGTTGTGACCAGGATTAATAAAAGAACGCTTCGCTGGTTTGGTCATGTAGGAAAAATGAATGAGGAAAGAGTAACAAAGCAAATCTATGTTGCAGAAGTGAACGACAGAGTAAGCAAGGTACGCCCTAGACGGCCAGTTTGTCGACCAAATTGGTAATATATTGAAGATGGGACGAGCTTGTATGCGCAGGATGTAAGGGAAGTGAGAGATATGTAGGGATCGTGCCAAATGGAAGTCTGTAGTCTCCCTGTATCCCTATGGGTGACAGGCGTGAGTGTTTATGTATGTATGTATATAAAACGATTGCCTTCGTCTCCATATAAGCATAATAAGTAGTAATAATAAATAAAGTAATACGAGTAAGTTACTATAAATTTATATCTGATTGCCTTGATCACTTACATTCAAGATTTCTTGTTTAAGTACATTCGATCGTATCGAAGTCTACGATTATCGGTGGCGTTTTGTCATTTAATTATCAAAAAAATGTCACAAATGTAAGGATTATATATTAGATTAGGGTTTATCTGTGATTTTTCTCGGAGTTTATCATTATAATCGAAGTCGTTAGTCAAATTCGGCTATTAAAAAGATATAGAATCATATATAAAATGCGTCGCGTCTAGGTTTATCAAAAAACGTTTTCGGCGGTGTAATAAAATGGGTTTTCAAGTTGGAGTTTTGTTGGTAACGCTGCTCGTTGGGAGCTTAGGTGAGTGTACTTTATAAAAATAAGATAAACATTTTTAAACGCAAAGTTAAATGAACTAATGATCAACACGATATACATATATAATCACTATCACATTATTTTCCACACGTCTCGGGTGAACTGGGAGAGAATGCCAAAAGTCATTAAGTCCGCTCTTGTAATTATTTTTATTTAGGTGTACAATAAAGTATAAATAAATAAATAATAAGCGTCACTGATAAAACAAATTATTATTCGATATGTGTATTTTCAAACAATGTACATTATTAAATATAAGGTGGTAGGACTCCCCTTTTGCCTCAACGTAGACTAGCCATCCACGCAAAACTGGTAACAAATAATAATGTCCTCCAGACCGAATTTCGGCCACGGCGGCTTGCCTCAACTAAGGCTAGCCAACGGCGCAGGACAGGATTATAGTGCCCAAGTGTATGCGCAAGCACAGGCGCACTCTCTATTCCCTAACTCTCGTAATCCGATGGGACGGTAAACCGACACGACCGTGAGAGAGATCAGGCGCGGGACCAACGGCTTTGCGTGCTTTCCGAGGCACGTGGGTGAGACACCGCCAACTTCCTGACTCCGGGCAGTTACTGAAAATTTCTTGACAGAAAAACTCAATAATTTTTTTGGCCCAACCCGGGATTCGAACCCGGGACCTTATGATCAGCAGTCGCACTACTACAACCACTAGACCAACGAGGCAGTAAATTAATTAGTAGTCTATACTACCGACCCATTCGTGCTACAACTATTTGTAGCACGAATGGGTCGGTTCGACCGTGGAAGGACCACGCTCTCACAGAATATCGGCGTAAAATAGCAGCTTAACGCTGCTGTGTTTCGTATGAAAGGAGGTATTTTATCTTAGTCCTCAATGATAACAACGCATTTGCGTATTGATTCGTAACCGAAGATAGATATAGATGTCTATGGGCCACAGCAACCTCTTACCATCAGGTGGACTGTGTGCTCGTTTGTCACCATTCTCCTATAAAAGTTTCGCTATATTTTCTACGTTGTCGCCATTACAGCATTTCAAACGTTCACTGCTAAAAATAGGATTTTGCCATGGTTGTCACGCTTGGCAAACGAGTTGGCAACGGCCGGTAAGAACAATAAAATTATTTTTTTTGTTCTTATAACGAAAACACTGCCGTCCATCTTCGGATTTGTTTCCCTCTGTCACGTCTTATGACAGCCGCGAAACGGTATGAGATAGTGGATATTTATTCATACACCACCAGTACACGGTACACGGACTTTTGATAGGCCGGCTGTTTTGAACTAATGAATTAATGGATCGCGTACTCGTTTGCCTTCTCTTCTTGAAAAAAAGAAGAGCGTCGCAATGTTGGTCAGTTGGTCAGAACAAATATAAAAAAAGAATTGAATTCCGGCTGTAATTAATGGATAAACGAATAAAATGCATGCTGCCCTGTTTTCTATAAAAAAGAAGAGCGCTGCAGTGGTGAAACTTGACTAGGCCAAACTTAAATATAATTAAAAAAAAATTCACAGCGGTTCCGACACCAAAGGATGACTTCTCCGACTTATTCATCCATACGGACCCCAACGCCCGCATTGTGGGTGGAAGTCCAGCCGCCGAAGGCAGTGTGCCCTACATGGTGGCCATGTCCAGTGGATTCCTTCTGAGAAGTTTCATGTGTGGGGGTTCCCTGATCAGCACAAGGCATGTGCTGACGGCCGCTCACTGCATCGCAGCTGTATATTCTTTTGGTTCCCTCAGCAGGTAGTGCTTTATACTGTTTGATTTTTTCACATAACATACATACTTAAACACATACGCCCGTACAAAAAGTACGATCCTGAACCCCCCAAGCCGTTAACAACCCAACCGCCCAAAATCCCCCCCACAAAAAAACAAGCCCTTACACAATTTGAATAGCACTCAGATTCAGCCCCAACATAATCCTTAATGACCGCTTTTCTACAGTATTTATTTAACTCTCGTGCTTCTTCCGCTACTGCAAACGTTGAGTACGTTTGCCGAACCCAACGTTTCCATTTTGTGTAAATTATTTGTTTTTAAATATAAATAGAACTGCATAAATTCATAAATGTAATGTCTAATTTTAATTAATTGTAATAATTGCAAAACATAAAACTATTTTTATATAGAATAAGGGCAACGAACGAGCACATAGTCCACCAGATGATAAGTGGTTGCTGTGGCCTACAGACATCCACATCTATCCTCGAATAAGAATCAAAATACAGTTGCTTTGGCACCCCTGAGGTTTAAATTAGAATGCCTCGTTATCACTAATAAGATGAAATGCCTCATTTCCAGTAAAAAGGGTCTACGATTATCTACATTCACTATACGAAACACAGCAGCATTAAGCTGTGTTGTGTTTCTGCCTTTATTTATTTATTTAACTTCCTACACACTTTAATGTATAATAGGCGGACTTATTGCCCTAAGCTCAGCATTATCGACCAGTCTATCTTAGAGTAGTGCAGTGATAAAAGATCATCCACGCATCTTTACAATGTTTCAGTTCTCTGCGGGTAACAGTCGGCACTAACCGCTGGAATACGGGCGGCACATCCTATACAATTTCGCGCAACGTTACCCACCCCAACTACGCGGCTTCCACTATCAAGAACGATATCGGAGTGCTGGTCGTGTCCTCTGACGTGGCGCTGTCCAGCACTGTGCAGCTTGTGCCCCTGAGCTCCGATTTCATCGGCGAAGGTGTTTTATCTAAAGCCGCTGGATGGGGAAGAATTAGAGTAAGTCTAATTCATATTTTTATAAGAAAATTTAATTGAACTACTTTTTTCTTTTTTTACAAATAAATATAATAGGAGAGCCGTGGTAGCTCAGATGGTTAACGTTTGCTGTAAATATAACAGAACGCGAGTAACCCGGGTTCGATCCCCGTCGGCACCAATGAAATTGTTAATTGCAATTTTAAGTGCTGATTTACCACGTGCTCGGCGGTGAAGGAAAACATCGTGAGGAAACCTGCATGTATGAGGAATAAGAAAAAAAATATTTCGAAGACATGTGAAGTTCGCCTTCACATGTCTTTCTTGCCCTAAAACCCTCTCAGAAATGAGGGGAGGCCTGTGCCCAGCAGTGGGATGTATATAGGCTGTTACTTTACTTTACTTTAAATATTAATAGCCTTTTACAAGATGCGGGAGTGTACAAGCTTGATTGTGAATGTAGTCTCTCTCACATCCAATTCATTCATCCATTTCAGGCTATAAAAATCCACTGTTCACATAGGGATTTCGCTACAGTTGCCACTCAGTTTTTTGTTATTTTGAGTTGTTATCAGGAAGATGCTACTGCCCACATCCTGTGTCAGTATCCGTCTGACGCCTCTTACGACACCCAGGGGACAGGACGCTATGGGGTAGTGGATATTCTCACAACGCCACTACACGGTGACATAAATTAAATTAAAAATTCAATAAAACTTGCGTAAAAGAACATAATATATGATAGGAAGAATCGTCGCTCCGGGTAATCTACAGACTATGAACACGTGATAACCCCGTCATTACTAACAAATCTATACATATAATATTTTTTTATATGAAATTTTTGAGATTTGCATGAGATTATTAATAAAAACAAAATAAAATGTTCTGGCAAGGGGTGAAGTAATAAGTGATATACTGTTGCCATTTTTATATATTTTAAATATTTATTTTTTATAATATAATAGTTAACGCGTCAAGGAAGGACAAAGAAATAAACATACCACACGCTTTCTCATTTATAATATTATTAATTTATTTATTATATACTTTATTGCACTATAAAAAGTGTTACAGATTCGTCCAAACTTAACAATAAAACAACGCAATTAACAACAAACAGATAAAATAACGTTCAAGTATAACAAAAACAAACAAAAGTCCAAACCAAACAACAAACAATATTATCAAAAATATCGAACTAGAGTCGAGACGCGTATCCGTAACAAAAATGCTATCGGTACTGAGCGCGCACGGCCAGCGCGGGACGCGGTGCGGGGAGTCGGGAAGGGGGTCGCATCCAGTTTCCAGCGGAGTCTCAAGTTAATTCGTACGTGTTGTAAAAATAAAATTAAAGTGTCTGTCGGTAATATTCGTAAATAACTGGCTACAGTGGGTTACTTTATAATAATTTAATTTTTAAATCTGGCTAAACTGATTGTGATTAAACTTTACAATCAGATAGAGAACAACTACTATATTTACAAACTAGGCTATATTTTATACTATTTTTTTTGAAAAATCCAAAAATGTATAAAATAATTGGTAATTGATTATCTCATGCGGGCGAGTTGCTGGTCAATAAATAAACTACTGGTAAAATTAAAAATTTTGAAATTTTGTACAATTGACTTCAATACGACCGATAAATGTATTCGATAGTCAATTAAATTCGCATTATTAAAGATAACTCAAAAACTATTTGGTCAGATCGTGGTTATATTTTTATTTTATTTTAATTTATATGGGACCACACGAGAAGCACCATCTTTCAGATAAAAGAAGAATCATCAAAATCGGCTCACCCAGAGGAAAGTTATGTGATAACACAAAAAAAACATACAGTCGAACTGTATGTTTTTTTTGTGTTATCACATAACTTTTTCTCCTCCTTTTTGAAGTCGGCGAAAAGGCAAAGTTTCTTGTTTTATTCAGTACTCGTATATAATAAAGATTGTACTATCTATTGAGATCTTAAAATTCACAATCGGAGATATAACATTATTTATTGTTAATTGTTACTAGTCAGTTTTTTTTTACAAAATAAATGGTTACCATTATTTCGATACTTAGATTACTATAAAGCTATTACCAATAATATTACAAGTAAGCTTTTAATGCTTGCGTGAGGATTGGTTCACTTCAGTGGCCAAATTGCGACACTGAAGTAAACATTACGATGTTTACCTGTAACCATCGTAATGTTTACTTCAGTGAGTAACCCTGGTTGCACACTTCTGCCTCGTCGTTGGTACCAAGTTTGGTACGAACGTCATCAACGTGGTTGGCATTTAAACGTCGCAGATAATGTTTGTTTAATCTAGACAGAGTTTTTTTTTTGCGCCCGAAGCAAATAAGGGCAACCCTCAGGTAACGGGGGAGGGAGGTGGAGAATGCTCATAGCACACCACGCAGCCGGCTGCTTGGTATGTGGAGACTTTTACCCACTAAACTCCACCTTTAGGGATTGGCTTACCGATCTGACGAGAGATCTTTAAGCTATAAACGGACACGACCCTCCTTGGCAGAAAGGAGGGCGCAGACAGAGTTGAACGATTGAAAGGCGTTGACGTACTCGTACAAGACGCCACGTCTTAAAGGCGTTGGTGAACTCTAACTCTAAAAAAGATGATATTAAATTTAAAATGAATAAAAACATATTTTAGTACAGAAAGTTTTATTAAAAAAGCATATAAATTATGAATGAAATCGGTAAATTAATTTTTCAACTTCATTACGTTAAGAAATCAAATTTATTTAAAGTACTCGTATGAAAAACATGAAATATCAAACATATTTCATCATATAACGAAACATAATCAATGTTGTATTTATAAAATCGCAGTAAGTACTTTACAATATAAAGTGCATACTATTGAATTTTGTTATCGTAAAAAGGACTACTTATTGAAAGTCGCCCTTATGTTTATTTTACCACTGGGTCGGAAAATACATCTGTCCTAGGAACAATCAGCAAGAAACCCAGCGGGACTTAAAAAAACACAGTTTATTATCATATGTTATATATTACACAATTAACAATATAAAATCAATTCGAAATAGCTTGGTAGCGATCATTACATTCCCTACTATCCAAGGAGGTTAATAAAAATATACAAGTAATAAGATGATTCTGATTTAATAGCAAAAAAGTGCCCGTGCGCCGTTTGTTCTTTGAAGTCATTCGATATTAAGGGGATAGAGTAAGTCAGCTCAAATTCTAATTTCGTCCCCACTTGCCCGCACGTCGTATGCTATGTACCGACTACCGACATGTTTGTAATCACTAATACTGTAAGTAGAAAGGTGTTAGACACTTATTTCATAGGTTTATCATATTTATGCCTGTTTCTTAACGCCAAGCCAGTCGCTTCTTATTTTTATTACGGTTATTTCCCATTTTAATTTTACGTCGTCCTGTTGCGTAATGTATATTCTGATCGTAAGCGACACAACCTCCCCGTTCAAAGGCCGAAGCGAAGTGACCGTGCGGCAGGAATCACGCTTCAAGGGGCCGATAGTTTAGGTAATTTCTTTTTACAGTGAAAATAATGGTATTTTAAAAAAAAGTAGGTAAATAACATAAGCACTGCTTTATAGTTAGTTCAGTTAATATGCAAAGTTTCATGATCTTATTTAAAGTATTTTATGAATAACAGCGGTTTATTGTTTATTTTGCAGGTAACTTTGGATTTTTTTTTCTATCGAGAAAATTTTACGAAATCGTGTTTTCGTCTAACATAATCCTTAACATTAATCCTCAACTTTACCATATATTTATTTCAAAATTAATGCTGCAATATTTTCGGCATAACGAAGGATCTTGCTAAGCCATTTGAGATTATATTTCCCCTTAAAGGATAGATATTCGGGTGACTTTTTTATAACACTGGGTAACAAACGAGCACACAGTCCACCTGATGTTATGTGGATGAAATAGACATCCACATTATCCTTAATTAGGAATCAAAATACAAATGCGTTGTCACCCCTGAGGACTAACATGGATTGATACATGATACATATTGATATGATTCCAGTAAAAAGGATTTTCGGGGTTACTTCAGCACTTCAATATACCGACAGAATACTTGGCACCGCATAAGAAAAAAATTAACATACATTTCGACGGAACAAAGGCTTTTTCATAATCCACATACGCTAGACAAAGTGACAGATTTTACTCTGCGGTCTTCTGTACAATTTGCCGGAGGGTAAGCATGTGGTCCATGCTGCTAAAGCCTTTTCGGAAACCGGCTTATTCGGGAAGCTGGAAGTTGTCGAGTCTAACTAGACTAACAAAACACTTCTTATTTACAGCAAAATGGTGCCCTGTCGTCTGTTCTGTTGGAACTATTTCCTACGACGATTAGCGGACAGCGTTGCCAGGAAGACGTGGCACGCCGTGGCTTGGAGCTGAACATGCGGGTGCCTCCGGTGGAGCCACAAATTGAGCTCTGCGTGTTCCACTCAGCTGGACACGGCATGTGCAATGTAAGTATTAACTGATAAATTAATTGTTCATTCATTATAGCCTATTTATAACTGCCTCGTTGGGCTGAAGGTCATAAGCGCGATTGCTTATCATGTTGTCCAGGGTTCGAATCCCATCAAAGAAATCAGTTATTGGATTTTTCTAGCAAAAAACTCTCAGTGGAAACCCGGAGTCAGGAATTTGGTGTGTTTGAATACCCTGCCTCGGATAGTACGTAAGGCTGTAGGGCGTGCGCCTCATCTCTCTCTCTCTCTCACTCTCTCTTTATTGTCCCTTCGGGCTATAAAATGAGTAAATATATAGTGCAACTATGTTTACATACACACTCATGCATTAAAATCGTGTCCCGCACTGATAGCTAGTATCAGTTGAGCCTGACCACCGTGATCTAATTTCTACTGAAAATTCTTCTTATAGCCTATCAAACACCCTCCGCTGAACAAAAGCTTCCGCCATGGTTTGATTCATAGCGGGATATTTGTCATAGTAGCCTCGCTTAGGAGATGGATTGGGAACCACAGTTTTTATTATTATTATTAAGTTGTTATTCAGAAGATTCCTCTTTAATTTTTCCATATTTAAATCCATCCTATTTAAATTTCCTTCTATGGCCTCTAACGACACCCACAGGATGATATGGGGTCGTGAATTCTCTTAAGCTGCCACTGCACGCCACTGCCACAACAACTGACATTGTAGTATATCAATACCTTTTGTTACCTCTACTTAATAAGCTTTTTAATGTCCACTGCTGGACATAGACCTATAGCAATGTAAAGAGACACGCAGCTGGTCGTTTTGGGGGACTTTAACGCCTGTCACCAAGACTAGCTGTTCCCACACCAGAATACCGACTATGCTGGAATAGAAGTGTGGAATTTAGCCCTGACGCCAGGTATTTCTAAGCTGGTAAAGGAAGCGACTAGGCTACCCGTCATGCAGCCGATTGCTTAGACCTTCTGCTGATTGCCGAACCAGAAATATGAAGTACAGGTTACTAGCCCTTTAGGTACATCTGACCACTGTGTGGTAAAATCTGTATCGTCCTGATCCCAAGCTGTTCGACGAAAATGGCGGTACAAGTCAAATAATTGGAATGCGATGCGACACTTTTTTGCATCCTATCCGAGGCGAGTGGTCTCTTTCTCTTCTGCAGATCCGTCGAGTTGTAGTATCATAGTTTTTAAGCTATGGCGTATTTTATCCCCTTTTCTGACGCTCCCATCAGTAGGAAAGCTCGCCCATGGTTTATTGCTGAATACCCTCAAGCTGAAAAACGCAAGCATTTAGCGTACCTATCCTGGGTTGCCGTTCGAAAACTCAATGCTCCGGATATCAGCTCCAAGAAGAGAACTTTCAACCAGGCCGCATATTTCCGATAAAAAAGCATTACGGAAAGCCAGTCTCGATCGCATTAAACATATTGGCGCAAAAGTCTCTGCCAGACCATGCGGCACTATAGAGCTTTTTGGTCTCTTACCAAAGCGGTCGAGACAAACATCTGTGGGCCTGCACTGCCTTCACTGGTAAAACCGGATGGCACAGCTAAAGTGAAAGTGGACTTGGTCGCATCTCTATTTGCCTATAATTGGCGTCTGGACGATGGCGACAACATTCCACCTAAATTACCTCACTGCGGGACCACTATGCCAGAGGTTCATATCACAAATAAGGAGATTCTTAAAACCTTGCGGTGTCTAGACGTTGATAAAGCTAGTGGATCAGATGGTATACCAGCTATATTTCTAACAGGCTTGTTCCACTTCTCATTTAGGACTGGAGTAGTGCCAAAATCCCGGAAGCTAGCCAACGTGCAGCCTGAAACAAAAAAAAAAGCAGCCGTGCCGACCCTGCCAGTTATCGGTCAATCTCAATTACCTCCATACTCTGCAGGATTATGGAGCGTATATTGAACACCCGCTTAATAAGATACCTAGAACAGAATACCTAGAACAGGCATACCCATAACAGAATAACCTCTTTGGTGACCGGCAATATGGGTTTCGCCGAAATCGGTCAGCTGGGGACTTTCTGGCGTATACCATATACGTGTGGGGCGAGGCACTCTAGAACAGTGGAGAAGCACTTGCTATTGCCCTTGATGTCTGGAAGGCCTTTGACAGAGTTTGGCACGCTAGCCTTTTGGATAAGCTTCCGGCGTACGGCTTATTCCCTGATCTGATTGACTGGGTAAAAGATTTCCTGAGTGACGATCTCTCCGGGTCGTTGTCGATGGCTGATCTTCCGATCCTGTGGAGACTAACGCTGGTGTTCCTCAGGGGTCCGTTCTCTTCGCAACTCTCTTTCTGCTGCATATTAATGATTTGCTTATGTCTTTTATTTATGGGTACGCAGACGATAGCATAGTTGTGGAGAGATACCAACCAAGTCCTTGGGGCAGTCGGGATAAAATCCGGTCCGAAAGAGAAGCTATGGTAAAGCTTGTGAATCTCACACTACAGGCAGTCTCCGAATGGGGCGATGCCAATCTTGTGAAATTCAATGCCGCCAAAATACAAGCGTGTCTCTTCACTGAAAAAAGGAGCCAACACATCTAGGTTCCTTCTTTATGAAATTCATCACTGAAATACACCAACCGCCTCCAGTTGTTGGGGGTTGAGATGCCCTCAAATCTGAACTTCGGGTGATTCATTGAATCCAAGGCCAAAGCAACTGCAAAGAAGCAAGGAGTCCTTGCAAAGGTGCGGCGATACTTCATGCCGGGACAGCTGCTTACTTTATATAAAGCTCAAGTAAAGTCGGGTAACGCCACCTAGCAGCTTTGTACTTAATAGAAAGGCGTGCTAAGAGGCTTTTTGGTGACACGAATTTGGTTAAAACCAATCTTACCAGCCTCGAACACAGGCCCAAAGTAGCCATTCTAGTAGGAGAGTGTGCGCAGAAATTATATAATTTAATAAAACTATTATTTACGGATTTTATCGCGTTTAATTACTTTAATTTATTTTTATTATTATCCCGACGTTTCGGGTGCTTTACAGCGCCCATGGTCACGGGGGGGACTGAGATGTTTGACGTCCCAATGTCATAGTTAGTCCGGCTACCTTCAGTTTTTTAATATTAATTTGTGAGTCCGAAATCGAACCAAAAATTATTGGGACGTCAAACATCTCAGTCCCCCCCCGTGACCATGGGCGCTGTAAAGCACCCGAAACGTCGGGATAATAATAAAAATAAATTAAAGTAATTAAACGCGATAAAATCCGTAAATAATAGTTTTATTCAATGTGTAGTGTTCGCGTAAATTTAAGAAATCATTATATAATTTAATTTCTCCCTCTCCCTTCCAACATAGGACAACCAGACGTTTGGCCAGGCCCCTTTTGTTGTTGACTTACCACGCATTCAAATCAAACGGTTTGCTACGTCGATCATCATGCGTACAGCAATAGAGTGTAATAAGTTGGCAGCATCTGCCTTTCCATCATATTATAGTGTGGGTGTCTTGAAGCCAAGAGTGATTAGGTTTTGTAAAGTCAGTGTGCTTCACCATCTTAGGCTACATCACCACTTACTATCACGTGGGATTGTAGTTAAGCGCTGCCTTAGAATGATAAAAAAGAGAGGGTTTGCCTTAATCGCAATACTTGGCTGGCGATTGATCAATCTTGGTGGAAAACGTCTCGCACCTTTGATGCTGCTGTCCGTCTCCAGTCTGGGTATTTTACATTTGGCGTAAACGAGATGAAAACATCATCTATCGAAAGCCATAAGATTCTCTCCGCATTTTTTATTGCATTGGTGACAATCGAGCACACTTTGTTTGTCACCCCTGAGTAATAAAATGGAATGCCTCGATTCCAGTAAAAAGAGTCTGCGGTTCTCTCACCATATGAAACACAGCAGCATTGAGCATATTTTGCGCTAGTTTTTAAGCTATTGCATAGCTTCTATCGCGGGCCTTGAGCGCAGGGACCGAATCCAGAAATTCCGTAACGAAAAAAAACCTCACGCTCCCCACTCCGACGAGCACGGAGGTGTGGCGTTGAAAGCCGTGCATCGTCTAACGTCGTTTCAGTTCGGCAGACTTCGGCATGCATTCGGCACGGTGTTTGTGTGCGTGCGACTAGACGTATGCGTGTACACTAGCTGCTAACTCAATGATAAAAATTCCTGAATAACCTACATGTATTGTAAGATATTAAAAATATTTTAAACAATATTAACTTCTCATTTATTCAATAAGAGAAAAAAAATTGTTTTCTTATCGGTCACCACGCTCAAAAAGTGTAACTTGATTTAATAATCAAAGACTTAACTGCATAAATAAAATAAATAAATAATTATAATTGCATAAGTTGATAAAAAATGCTATGCAATAGCTTTACCGCGGCAGTCACCGAGTGCCACACGTATTTTTTTTTTTTGAGAGCGTAGTCTATCCCCGGTCGAGCCGACCAATTCTTGCTACAGCACTAATATAGCTTCAGAATGGCTCTACCACGTACAAATTTGTCATCTTCAACACTTTATTGTTTTTCAGGGTGACAGTGGAAGCGCACTGGTGCGTGCAGACAACGGTCAGCAGATTGGTATAGTTTCTTGGGGATTACCATGTGCCCGTGACGCCCCCGACATGTTCGTACGTGTCAGCGCTTACATTAATTGGATCATACAAGCTATTTCATAAATACCCCACAGAATTTGTTTAGAAGTATCCACGTTTTAAATGTTTGAAAAGAACGGAAAGATAATAATTTAATATAACTGTAATGTAATATACTTTTGGTTTAATTTTTAATAAGCAAACATCTAATAATTCCCTTTTTTATTTTAATATCTTTACCTCCAGGCTAGGATTTTCCCCTCTGTAATCGGAGCGTACGGCAAAGCATGCCGCGTGGCTTCATGCTAAACACACGCTGTTGTATTATTGCCATATACATGTCGGACACTTGAGTGATATGAAAAACACTTTCTTAAAAACTTTTTCAGTGTAGGTACAAAAATATAAACCGTTTCCTCAAATTTATTTAAAATATCTTATAATGATTTCCAATAACTATACAAACATTACATATTGGCAACAAAGGTTACGGCGGAAATGGGCGTTAAAACTCGCTAAACATCGAACTTCGCTAGACACATTAATTATTAGCAGGTCATTTTTTAATCTTATGACACAGAGTATTCGGTTCAAAGGACAAAATTTTTGAGTAGTGGACGGAATAAAAATTTATTCATCATTACATGTCTTCTCAAGCCCACTGCTGAACATAGGCCTTCTCCAAGGAATGCCACAAAGCACGGTTCTGAGCCACCTGCATTCGACTTCCTGCATGTCTTACCAGGTTGTCACACCATCTAGTGAGGGGTCGCCATACACTTCGGTTACGTGTACGAGGCTGCAATTCGAGAATCTTTCTTCCCCGTAGATTGTCGGTTCTTCGACGTGAAGGACCACGTCCGAGAAAAAATAAAAAGATTTAAAAGGCCGAACTGAAAGCAGCAGAGACTGATTCTTATGGTGGTACAGTATTTTTAAATGGTTGATTACATAATTTTGATTATGTATCTACTCATTATAATATAAATCCAGACTATATGACTATACGACGACTGATATATGGCAAGATTCATCACTGACAAAAATAATTTAAGTGTGCTACAAAACTCAACCAATTTTCTTAAATATTTTATTGTCTGCATCTAACGAATAAATTCACGATCAAAATCCATATCGCGTACTTTATAAATTAATGTATTTAATATTACAATTTATTGATACTTTATTTATTATAATAGATCAGACAATAAGACTAATTAGAAACTTCTTAATATAGGAAGTAAAAAGTTTTTAAAGCTGTTGATCCTTGCGAAAACGTCGGGAACACCTCGAGCGCAGGGATGCGCCCACGATGCTATTCCTATCTGATGCCCCGTCTCCCTGGATATTAACGGGCTGCCAGAGTCGCCCTAAAAATTGATTTTTCAATATATCTTCAATCATAATAACAAATTTAATGGAAAATAAAGGAAAATAGAGCAAAATAAATCAAATCAATATTAAAAACAAATACAAAGTGTATGAATAAGCGGTGAACGCGTCAAGTTAAATAGCAGCAACGAAGTTATTCGGGCACGCACAGACAAAGAAGTCGAGAACGGTGGCTTAGGCGTAGCGCATGACGGGATAAGGAAGTGTGGTGGCGCTGTCGTCGCGCTGCCAGCGATACGCACCGAAGCTTAAGTAGCGCCATAAAGTTCTTAAGACAATGTGTTATATATAGAACAGCTCCGAAATAACACATGGAGCATTGTCTGCTCCCCGTGCTGAATATCTTGCCCAGCGGGAGATCTCCTTTTTTCCTTCCACCGCCAAACTGGTATCCAACAATGTGGTGTGAACACGCAACACTCCCATCAAATTTCTGAAGTTAACGAGCTGTATATCGAACAGGTCCAAAATAACACATGGAGCATTAGCCGCTCCCCTGACTGAAAACCTTGCCCGGCGGGAGATCTCTACTTTTCCTTGGACTGCCAAAAAAGCGTCAAGTCGTTTGCCCTTACGGCATATGAGTCGGTTGTACCGCAAAGGCGCGCCAAAAGATGTTTCACACCAAAAATATTTTGAAGACCTGTGAGAACCACCAAAAATAAGAAAAGACCAAGCAGAAAAACAAATATAGCCAGTAACTGTCACTTTGTTTTTTACAAGTAAGTTATTATGCAAACTGAATTTTTAAAATACGTGGAAATACTCACATAGCACAACCCATGGTACAAATTTCTAGTTCCGAATCTAAAACTATCTAAACGAGTGAGGAGCTCTACGTAGCTGCAGCTTCATATATAGCCGCGGTGTACTGTTGAGGAGACATTGTTTCCAGATAAAGAATTTGCAGTTCATCGGGATAAGGGTACATTATCTGGGAAGTAAATTATTACACAACTATTTAACTATTTATCCAATTCAAAAGCCTTTTTAACTAGGTTTTCATGACCTACTTAATAATTGGAATCAGGTTTCCCATTTGAGTTAGTGTTGAGTTATTAGCCACCGGTCCTGAGCCACCTGTAATCAATCGAAGATCAGGACCGTGCTTATTGACATTCCTGGGGAAAGATCCATTTCAGCAGTGGACTCGTGAAGGGCTGTAATCATATACCTAGTAATGATACTCGTAACAGTAGAATTACAAGAACAATAAGGAAAAAAAAGAACAAGAAAAGGGTCTGGATGCGGGTATTCAGACGGCAAAATTACATGGAAGCGACTTATTGTGACTGTGGATACATAAATATTAATAGAGTATATTTACAAAAACATAACTAACCAAAATAGGTCCAGTTATTGTAACACCAAGCCTGCCCCATCCAGTAACAAAACTGGGAACACCTCCATCAATCCAGTCGAAGCTCAAGGTAACAACAGCAACCTTATCATTCAGTTCCAATTCCTTAGTAAAGAACAAAACTCCTACATCGTTTCTCTAAATTCGCTCGCTATCCCAAGACGGATGTTTGAGAAAATTGCTGAATTTTACAATGTGTATCGTTGAATTCCATAAAGTTGAGCCGATTACTCCATGAAATGATCTATGAAAATCAAATAATTTAAACTATACGACGGTGTAATTTAATTAAGTAAAATAATCGTCGTCATTTATGTACGAGTACAACGGTATGCGAAGTTATCCAATTAAGGGTGGAAGCCTTAGGAATTTGTTTACGATATTGCGGTCTTTTGTTCTTATATAATCTATATATCATAGAATAAATCACACCATGAGACACCACCAAATGAAACACAGCTGCTGTTTTACGGTGGTATTCTCTGCGAGCTCTAAATGCTAATTTCCTAACTTCACTGCTACTAAAAACCACAATTGGTGGATTTAGCTCGACCCGGAATTCGAACCTGGGACCTAATGATCAGCATTCGCGCTGACGACCACTAGACCAATAAGACAGATGCGACATTAACAAGAAATCTTCTAAAAGATTTTGTTAATTATATTATACAAAAACTTCTATAATGTTACAGCGACAAACATTGAAATTAATTTTATTGAAAGCCCTCAAAATACTTAGTCGGGTCATAAGTTTTGTCAAAACCTTAATTATTTAAAAATTTTGAATACTGGCTAAATTAATTTCACCAATTTTAAAAATATAACGCTTGCGTTTACCGAAAATGGAAAAGACATTAATTTTCATTCATTTTCTAATATTGAGTGGTCGAAGAAAGAAGATAGGGTAGCGGTTATCGCGTTGCACCGTTGTGGTTACGCACTAAAAGAGATTTTTAATATTCTACAAAGATTGAAAATAACCCTACGATTTGTTTATCGCACTATTAAACGATTCACTGAAGATTCAAGCTTCGAAGATCGTAAGAGGACCGGCCGACCTCGTATAGTTAGGACACCCGCGATCATCAAAGCAGTGATGGCACGAATCCAACGAAATTCTGTTCGTAAATAAAAAATCTTAGCTCTTCAGATGGGCCTAAGCAGCGATCAAAAGAGTGATCAATTAATAAAAAAAGACATTTTTTGAACAAGCGTTTGAAAATTAATTTAATCAAATTAGGCTGGATAGATTCCGCGTACCGCCGTAACAAAGAAATACCGCGAAATTTTATTTTCGGATGAAATTTTTTTAACATCGAAGAAAGTTATAATAAACAAAATGATAAGGTGCATATCCACAGCAGTGAGGAAACCAGCCCGCGCATTCCAAGGGCTCAACGAGCACATTATCCTTCGTCACTCATGGTTTGGCTTGGAGTCTCATACTCAGGCTTAACTGAAATGTTTTTCTGTGAAAAAGGTGTAAAAACTAGTGCCGAGGTGTACGAAAATACCGTCCTAACAAAAATAGTGCTTCTAACCTCTTTCTCAAACAACAAACAAAAAAAGACATTGGATATTCCAACAGGACTCTGCAAAAGTACACAGGGCACGAAGCGCACAAAACTGGTTGACCGTCCATGGAATTGACTTTATCGGACATGAAGACTGGCCCTTTTCTTGTCCAGATTTAAGCCCATTGGATTATAAGATATGGCAACATTTGGAGGAGAAAGTCTGCGCTAAACCTCATCAGAATTTGGAATCTCTCCGAGCATCTTTGGCTAAAGCAGCGGTAGAAATAGATCTGAGTGTGGTGCGTGCTGCGATTGATGATTGGCAGGGTCGAGTAAGGGCGTGTATTCAAAATAGGGGAGAGCATTTTGAATAATGTAAATAAAATTGTATTCTAAATTAAATTACCTTTTATTTCATATATAATTTCTATATAATTATCAAAAAGTGTATCATTAATTTAATAAAAAGTTTTTGACAGAACTTATGACCTAAGTAGTTCGGAGATATTTCAGAGCAAAGACAGAAGTTTATAAAAGGAAAACCTTTTATAAAAGCTTAAATTAGTTCTTAGTTAATATTAAACTTTTAGTAATCGATGCAAATTTAAGTAGTATTGTTAGAAAATTAATAAAAGAATAGTAATCGAAAGAAAATTATTAAAATATTTGTAAAACCAAAATATTTTTAAGAGTGTGGATAATTTTAAGACTACAAACTTACGATATTAAAACGTCATCTATAACCACCGGATCAATACAATCAGCTGCAGTCAGAACATGCTGCGTGCTGATGATTGAGTTCCCACACATGAGGCTTTTAACGGATTCGCCATAAACCAATGCTGCCATGTATGGAGCGTAGGCCTCAGGAGCGGTAACAAAAACGGTACTATGCGCGATGATACACCCAAATGTCTAATAAGTTCGTAATTTTCTACTGGATGCCCCGTAATTATTTATATAATTTTAAAGTTATCAAGAACACAGAACAAGTACTTTTAGGTGATTCTTTACACTAGTATACCCAAACTATCACATTTTACTAATTACTAAAGTGATACCTAATAGAATCTATATAATAATATAATTAATGTTTAAGGGGAAATATAATCTCAAATGGCTTAGCAAGATCCTTCGTTATGCAGAAAATATTGCAGCATTAATTTTGAAATAAATATATGGTAAGGTTGAGGATTAATGTTAAGGATTATGTTAGACGAAAACACGATTTCGTAAAATTTTCTCGATAGAAAAAAAATCCAAAGTTACCTCCAAAATAAACAATAAACCGCTGTTATTCATAAAATACTTTAAATAAAATCATGAAACTTTGCATACTAACTGAACTAACTATAAAGCAGTGCTTATGTTATTTACTTTTTTTAAAATACCATTATTTTCACTGTAAAAAGAAATTACCTAAACTATCGGCCTTTTGAAGAGTGATTCCCGCCGCACGGTCACTTCGCTCCAGCCTTTGAACGGGGAGGTTGTGTCGCTTACGATCAGAATATAGATTACGCAACAGGACGACGTAAAATTAAAATGGGAAATAACCGTAATAAAAATAAGAAGCGACTGGCTTGGCGTTAAGAAACAGGCATAAATATGAAAAACCTAATGAAATAAGTGTCTAACGACCTTTCTACTTACAGTATTAGTGATTACAAACATGTCGGCACATAGCATACGACGCGCGGGCAAGTGGAGACGAAATTAGAATTTGAGCTGACTTACTTTATCCCCTTAAGTGACAAACAAACCAACAGTCCACCTGATGGCATGTGGCTGCTGCACCCCATGGGCACTTGTACGCGACCTCAAAAAGAGAGCTCTGGATGCGTTGTCACCTGTGAGAACTATGGAATGTCAGGCAATACTTCAAAGTAAGCATAACGCATTCTAATGCAAAATAATATTTTCGTTTTCTGCTCCAGTCCATGAAAGTGGCCTTTCCCGTTGTAGGTAGGAATTGATTTAATCATCAGACTTGGTAAGCGGATCGATGATCGCAGTATCTCATTTTTCGCACCTTAACTCTGCTCCCCTCTCTGTCTGGAGACCATACCGCCATCTATCGGAAGCCACAAGATTCCTCTCATATTTCCCACAGTCGACTCTTACGTAAGTCACGAGACGAAATGGGATGACAAATTCTCTCACGCCACCATCACACTGCTCACTATTGTCTTTGTAAAATGTTTCACACAATCAATAACAAAACTACAAACGCACCGTTAACTAAAATCGATAAGACTGCAAAACTTGCTATGATTAAGGAGGCCGCCATTTTCTACGAAATCAAGTAAACTTCTGAATATATTTTAACATTTTTCATCCTTATAAATAATTAAAAGGATATTGACTTAGTTTTAATCAATATATTCAGTACAATAGAAAATAATGACCGAAAATAATAATTGTCCTCTACAATATCAATTGTTGTCTATATCTGGTAACCGATTTAAAACTGAATTAAAAAATAACAGTTTTTGACGGTTTTATTTAGTTTCTAATAACAAACTTTTATTGAATTCAACGTAATCGGACCATGAACTCTAAACCCCATAGATACGAGTATCACAGGTACAAGTACAATTTGTACTTCTGATATCTATTCTGCACCAGTCTTTATTTTTATTTTATAACGCATTACACAAAATTTTACAGAATTTTTGTTAAATGTTTTTCGAGAGTTTGTATGTGTGTATGTGTCACGCCCTTTGGTCTAAACGGTCTGAAGGATCTTAACATAATTATTATGAGGTATCTTTACATTCGTCTCAATTGTGGGAGTGACATAGATTATAAAATTATTCTCTTTTCAATAAGCTTTTTTACATAGCCGGTTTTTTAAATTATTGATTTAACCTTTAAGTTTTTTTATATTTTTTTTGCCGTGGCAGCTCATAGGATAATTGTGAATTGCTATTTTAGTTACATTCATCTGAAAGATCGTGTCTTCAAGGCCATGTGAAGTCCGTAAACATGCAGTTATACGCCGTCGGAACATACCCTGCCTCCAAAATGCTTTCAGAAATAAGAGCTGGTCTGTACCCCGCAAGAAGAGATACGTATTAAGGTTGCTCTTTCTTTTTTTTTAAATTTAATTTGATAACTACTACACTCAACTGGGAGAACGACTAAAAAGTAAAAAGTAAAGTTAATGGCAAACACCCGCAGGATGTGGATAAATATCTGTATCTGTAGAACAGGTACTTGTAGTTCTCCAGAAGCTATTTATTTTCATCCCCAACAGTGGTACAATGCTGGATAAAATAACTGCTGACGTGATCCTGTTAACCACTGGTTTACAACACATTTCCTCCCTAAACTGACCTGTTAACTCCTGGTTAACAATATTTCTCAACCGTAAAATGACCTGTGTACCAGCGGTTTACAAACCCTCATTTGTGTATAGCGTTCAAAAAAGAGCTCTATTTCAATGATGTGAGTGGGGCTTTTATGTAGGTCAATTAAATAAATAAAAATGTTAGTTTGTAAATTGTTTATTGATTGTTTGTGTTCAATAGCGGTTTGCAATATTCTCTTAGTACTTAGAAAGTTATCAACAATAGGAATTAT